GGCCTTGGGGCCGAGGGGCCGAGGCCGAAGGGGCCGAGGGGCCTTGGGTCTAGGGGCCGAGGGGCCAAACACGAAGGGGGGCCGAGGGGCCGAGGGGCCAAGGGGCCGAGGGGCCTGGGGCCTAGGGGCCAAGGGGCCGAGGGGCCGAGGTCGAAGGGGCCGAGGGGCCGAGTAGCCTAGGGGCCAAGGGGCCGAGGGGCAGAGGGGCCGAGGGGCCTAGGGGCCAAGGGGCCAAACACGAAGGGGGGCCGAGGGGCCAAGGGGCCGAGGCTAGGGGCCGAGGGGCCGCGGTTAGGGGCGACAGGTCGCAAGGGGCCGCGGCTAGGTGCGACTGGGCCGAGGGGCCGAGGCTAGGGGCGGCGGGGCGACGCGTCGCGAGGGGGGCCGCGGGGCCGAGGCTAGGGGCGACGGGGCCGCGACTAGGGGCGACGGGGCGACGGGTCGCGAGGGGCCGCGGCTAGGGGTGACGGGGCCGAGGGGCCGCGGCTTGGGGCGACGGGGCCAAGGGGCCGAGTCTAGGGGCGACGGGGCGACGTGGCCGCGGCTAGGGGCGACGGGGCCGCAGCTAGGGGCGACGGGGCGACGGGGCGACGGGTCGCGAGGGGCCGCGACTAGGGGCGACGGAGCCGAGGGGCCGAGGCTAGGGGTGACGGGGCCGAGGTGCCGCGGCTAGGGGCGACGGGGCCAAGGGGCCGCAGCTAGGGGCGACGGGGCGACGTGGCCGCGACTAGGGGCAACGGGGCCGCAGCTAGGGGCGACGGGACGACGGGTCGCGAGGGGCCGCGGCTAGGGGCGACGGGGCCGAGGGGCCGCGGCTAGGGGCGATGGGGCCAAGGGGCCGAGGGGCCGAGTCTAGGGGCGACGGGCGACGAGGGGCCGGGCTAGGGGCGATGGGCCGGGCTAGGAGCGGCGACGGGTCGGGGCCTAGGGGGCCTACTGGTCGCGAGGGTGGCTAGCAGGGCAGCAGGTGGTGGGCCCAAAAAACGGTCCTAGAAGGGACCTACTCTGAAACCATGTCAGAAAGAACGAACGAGAATGAATGAACTAGCAAAGAGTTGGGTACGAGCACTAACCCTAATTAGGTTGTACCCCTTATGGGCTACCCCACTACAGCCTACACAATGTAAGCTATGTATAAGTTTGACAAAATATAGGCAAGCACGAGTTGCACAAATGTTGCGTGGCGCTTCGGTGTAACCCAACCCCACGAAAGTGGTGTGCGGGTGGGTGAACGCGCCCCGCCGAACTTCCATCCAACTCAGCAGCGAAATGCATTCCGTGCACGCCACTCCAGCCAACACTGCAAGGAGTGGCGTAACTCTCACAGAAGCACACCTAACTCCCAAGACTCACACCACCCTGCACCGAATCTCATGCAGCCGCTAGCAGTCGCACCCGGTCGATATGGAACCGTCATTACACCGTCGCGTCGGTGCCGAACAGCTAGGAGTCTTGGTCGTTAGTCGCCATCTTGCCGAGTCAATGTCGTCGAGGGCCCTTGCTGTCGCAGGGCCCTCTAACACTCCCCTGCCATACTACAGCAAAGCCCTTTTATCCCATTGGTTAGTGGCTGGGATTTTGACATGTTATCAGGGCGAAGTTCCCAGGTTCGAATCCCGGTGTGTGTGTTATAGTCACAATAGGCTTGAATGTGCCTAAAACGAAAGATAGAGAGCACAGTCGGATTTCTGCACAGTGGCTTCAAACGTTGATAGCGTTCAGGTCACAGCTTCAAATGACCTGACTCAACTTGGATCTGGAGCGTCTTAACGTCGCCTAAAATAAGCAATTTAGATTGCACGATTTCATTCAGAATTGACGACACAGCGTCGGTTTGAACGAACGGTACTATGGCAGCAACTATAGTTTTAGAACACAACTTAGGAAGAGTTACGAGTTGGGAATGACTCCCAGCTCCTACAAACCCCAAGAGCTGAGGTACAGTGATGTGGAACAGTGCCACACTGTCCCCAATCATGAAGGGTCTCGAAACTACCCTCCACAAGGGTCTACACCAAGAGAAATGTTACACTACACAAAGTAATGCAACTATTCTCACTATCTTAAAGTTTACCCATTTTTGGAGAGCTTCGAAATCACTTGAATCTTGAAACCAAGGCTCTGGTTCTTCAAAATAAGTTCTTCAAAATAAGTTCTTCTAAACTTTCACACTTGAAAGTCTGCTGCGCACACCTGCGACATGCCGAACGTTCCACACACGACAAAATAGAAAAACCGCACACGACACGCAAACGACGACGTGACACGCGACTAGTGATAACTCGCTATTGACTCGACACACACATTCAAAATCATGACTCATCATTCACACACTATTGCAAGCATGAAATATATATTATCTCATGCCCTCATACCATTCCATGCACACACGCATGCACGCATACGGACAACAAGCCGAATGCAAACCGTAGGGTTGCACCAACAGTGTGCACCTCGGGCATCCCAGTGCGGGGGGGTGTCAGAGGCATTGAGCTGATCAAAATCCCTTAGGATCTTTTCAAGGCTAAGACCTTGGGTAGAGATGTTGTAATTGTGGAAGCGTATAGTAAACTTGTTGAACCACCTTGCTCTAATGTGTGAGAGCAAGATGAATTGATAATAGCAGGGTAATACAAAGGCTTTTATAAGATTACAAGGAATACGAAAAGGTGCAACTAACTGTTTTGCTGTTGCGGTTCGATACAGTGACGACTCGGGCAACTGCTCAATACCGAGTCAATTGTTTGTCCTTGCTGTTGCGCTGTATTTCGTCGAGTCAAAGGTCAGCGACCTTTGACCTTCGCGTAACCTCCAGCTGTTACTTTCTGTCAACCTCCTCGGTTGACTCGCCGTTGCTCCGCTGTGATTTGCCTCGTTTGTAGTCTATTGTTTCGACACAACAAGAGCGTTAAATTGCTTGTTTCCAACACTCCCCTTCGCTTCTGGAGTGTCGCTGCTGATGACGTGGCCTTGTCCAGTTAGCAGCATGCAATATTCAAACTTCTGCTTTCCGAGTTTCTTGGTTAAGTAATCGGCTGCCATCTCGGATGTGGGACAGTAGTATAGCTCAAGGCTCCCCTTCTCGATTTCGTCTTTTACGAAGAAGTACCGGAGGGTGATGTGCTTCGTTCGATTCGCGAACCCGTTCTTGTTCCCTATGCGAATGGCCAATTGGTTGTCGCAGTATAGGGAGAAGCTGGGTAACTTAGTCAGCATTGCTTCTTCCAGTAGTTCGCGAAGGTACAATCCTTCCTTGGTGGCTGAGAAAAGTGTGATATATTATGCTTCAGCTGAGGAGAGAGCAATTAGCTCTTGCTTGCTCGACTGCCACAAGATAGGGCTGATAGGTTCGAGTCGGTAGATGTAGCCGGTGCGCGATCGCCTGTTGTCTGGGTCGCCGGCGTGGTCAGCATCCACATAACTGATTAGCTTGGGCGTTGTAGTTCCAGTCTTGTGGTAGGTTAGGCCGATCGTCGGGGTGCTGACGAGGTAGTGAAGTGCACGGTCGAGCTCCGCCATGTGATCTGCTTCAGGCTTCTTGAGATGGGTGGCGAGTTGACTAGCTGAGTAAGATAGGTCCGATCGGCAAGTAATGGCTGCGAAGAGTAGACAGCCTAGCTTTCGTTGGTAGTTGCGAATGCCGGTGGGTTTGAGTAGGGCGGAGGCTTCCTTGCGATTTCTGTCGGTGTAACGATATGGCTTGGTGATGGTAGTTGGAGTTAGTCCGAAGCGTTTGGCGATGGTGTCGGCGTATTTTGCGGCGCTGGGGTAGATTGCGTTTTCCCCGTCTTGTATGTTGAGTCCCAGGTACTGTGTCACGGTAGACGAGACGGTGAGCGTGAGGTCCCGCTGTAGCTCCCCTTCAAACCAAGTTGTTATGCCGTCAGTGGAGCCTATGTAGAGTAGGTCATCTATGTAGGCGATGAGCAGGATATAATCGGTCCCTTTAGTGAGTCGGTACATTCCTTGGTCATGCGGTAGTTGGTAGAATCCGATGCGGATTAGTCGGGCGTGAAGGTACTGCTGCCACAGTCTTGGGGCTTGCTTGATGCCGTACAGTGATTTTTGCAGCTGACAGACTTGATTGGGGTCTGCGTTAGATCCGTGTGGTTGTTCAACAAAAATCTCACCGTCGACAGGGGCGTAGAGGAAGGCGTTGGCAACGTCGATTTGGGTTTCATGGCGGCTATCGCGAGGAGGATTCGGAGAGAGGTATGTTTCCTAACAGGTGCGAATGTTTCGGTGAAGTCTCGTCCGTGCTCTTGGTCGAAGCCGCGCACGACCCAGCGTGCCTTGAATTTGTCTATCGTTCCGTCAGTTTTCGTTTTCACGTGGAAAACCCATTTTCCCGTGAGAATGGTCTTGTTGCGTGCCACTCCGATAGGCACGACTTTCTAGGTGTTGCGTTCTTGCAGCGCCTTTAATTCTCTGTCCATGGCTTTGCGCCATTTTTCCCTGTGTTCCCCCCCCAGAGCCTGCTGAACAGTGGCACGCTCCTTAGGTGGTGCCGCTCCGTGGACAGCGGTGACGAGTCCCAGTATCTGCAGTCCACTCTGTGTGTAGCGGGGGAGAGTTGCGCCCTCGGGATAGGCGGATTCATCTCCCGCTTCTGGATCCGGTAGGAAGTTGGGGCTGATTCTTTCTGATACATTTGTGTTGACTGATTGGGGTGTAACGTAACCATTGTCAGCGACGTCGTAGTAGACTTTGGCATTGACACTTTCGCGAGGGTTTTCGTCATCCATCGGGATGAGCACGGAGTAGTATGGGAGTGGTCCTGCTTCCTCGGATGCGCCGTCCACGTTTTGCTCGTGTCTCTCATGTGTGCGCGGGGAGGAGAACCTGTGTGCGGAGGGCTACACGGGGCTCATCCTGAATGGCAACAAGGGCGGCTTCCAACCGCGCCTGCGCGCCCCCGCTGACTTCGCCATCAAGCTGCCGGATGGGTTGGATTCGGTGGACGCCGCTCCTCTTATGTGCGCCGGTGAGTGTCCGTATGCATGGGTCATGGGGTTGGGGTTGGGCCCTCATGGGGGCTCATCCTGAACGGCAGCAAGGGCGGCTTCCAGCCGCGCCTCCGTGCCCCCGCCGACTTTGCTATCAAGCTGCCCGAGGGGCTTGATTCCGTAGACGCCGCCCCTCTGATGTGCGCCGGTGAGTGCCCCTTCACCGTCACTGCCTTCTCAACCACTCCCCTTTCCCACTCCCCCTCCTCTCCCAACCTCCAGGCATCACGGTCTATAGTCCCCTGCGTGCCCACATAACCCGTCCAGGCATGAAAGTCGGCGTAATCGGCATTGGCGGTCTGGGCCACCTCGCCCTGCAGATCGCCCGAGCCATGGGGGCACACGTGACTGCCTTCTCCCCCTCCTCTCTCGATCCCCAGGCATCACGGTCTATAGCCCTCTGCGCGCGCACATCACCCGTTCCGGCATGAAAGTGGGCGTCATCGGCATCGGCGGCCTGGGCTATGGGGGCACACGTGACTGCCTTCTCCACCTCGCCCAGCAAGGAGGAGGAGGCCAAGAGCATGGGCGCGCAGCATGGGCGCACAGCATGGGCGCACCCCCCTCCTCACACCCTCACTTCCTCCCTTCCCTGCCTCCCCCCCTCTTGCCCTCTCTCCATCTCTCCTTCCAACCCCCAGGCATCACGGTCTATAGTCCCCTGCGTGCCCACATAACCCGTCCAGGCATGAAAGTCGGAGTCATTGACATCAGCGGTCTGGGCCACCTCGCCCTGCAGATCGCCCGAGCCATGGGAGCACACATGACTGCCTTCTCCACCTCGCCCAGCAAGGAGGCCGAGGCCAAGAGCATGGGCGCACAGCAGTTTGTGGTGTATGATCCGAACGCTGCCCCTAGAAAGGGGCATCCGGAGCTGCCCAAGTTTGCTCACGTGGACGTTTTGGTCAATTGTGCACCGGTTTTGCCTCCTCAAGGCGACTACACGAACTTCATGAGCCTTCTCAACCCAGATGGCACGTGAGTCAAAGCAAGGGTAGGGATGGTGTGGGGGGGTGCATCCCTAAGCGCCTAGGAGCACACACGTGGATGTGCTGGTCAATTGCGTGCCCGTGGTGCCGCCTAACGGCAATTACTGGAATTTCATGAGCCTCCTGATCCATTTCCACCCCCCCCTTCCCCCACCCCCCCATTTTCCATGTCCCCTTTTCACGTTCCCCCTTTCCCTTTCCCAGCTTAGTGCTTGCTGGAATTCCGCCTGATGCTGACGGGCAGGTTGGCCTTTTGGATTTGATTTTCGGGCAGAAGAAACTTGCGGGGTCGGTGGTGGGTGGGCGGATGCTGCTGAAAGAAATGTTTGACTTCTGCGCTGCTAACAGCATCAAGCCCGTGACTGTGGTGAGTGTGAGGGTGACTGTGGTGAGTGAGTGTGACTGTGGTGAGTGTGAAAGGGGGGTTAGACTGTGATCTCCATGAACACCTGCTTACCTACCAGCAGTCCCCCCTTCACTTCCTGGTTACCACCTGGTTACCATTCGCGCGAAATGTTTGGCTTCAGTGCAGCCAACAGCATCAAGCCTGTAACTGTGGTGAGTGTGAGTGTGAGTGTAATTGTGGCGAGTGTGAGTGTGAGTGTGAGTGTGATTGCGGTAAGTGTGATTGTGGTAAGTGTGATTGTGGTGAGTGTGAGTGTGAGTGTGATTGTGGTGAGTGCGAGTGTGAGTGTGATTGTGTTGAGTGTGAGTGCGAGTGTGAGCGTAAGTGTGTTGAGTGAGGGCGAGTGTGACTGTAATGAATGAGAGTGGTAGTGTGAATGTGACTCTGGTGCTGGTGTTGGTGGGTGTGAGTGTGGGATAAAGTTGGTGGGTATGAGTGTGAGATAGAGTTGGTGGGTGTGAGTGTGAGATAGTAACGGTGGGTGTGAGTGTGGGATAGTGTCGGTGGGTGTGAGTGTAGGATAGTGTCGGTGGGTATGAGTGTGGGATAGTGTTGGTGGGTGTGAGTGTGGGATAGTATCGGTGGATGTGAGTGTGGGATAGTGTCGGTGGGTGTGAGTGTGGGATAGTGTCGGTGGGTGTGAGTGTGGGATAGTGTCGGTGGGTGTGAGTGTGGGATAGTATCGGTGGGTGAGTGTGGGATAGTGTCGGTGGGTGTGAGTGTGGGATAGTGTCGGTGGGTGTGAGTGTGGGATAGTGTCGGTGGGTGTGAGTATGGGATAGTGTCGGTGGGTGTGGGTGTGGGATAGTTTCGGTGGGTGTGAGTGTGGGATAGTGTCGGTGGGTGTGAGTGTGGGATAGTGTCGGTGGGTGTGAGTATGGGATAGTGTCGGTGGGTGTGACTAGCATTGTTTTTGTGGACAGGGCTGCTCGTGCAGGTAGGGTTGTTTTTTGTGTCGCAGCTCAATGAGGCGATGGATGAAGTGGAAGCCACCGTTCAGTGGTCGACTCGTCATGTTTCCTCCCTTCTTACCTCGTTACCACCCATGTGTTACAGACGCGCCTGCTGTCGCAGCTCAATGAGGCGATGGATGAAGTGGCGGCCAACAAGGTCCGCTACCGTGTTGTGCTACTGACCGATGCTGAGTAGATATGGAGAAATGGACCGATGCTGAATAGATATGGATAGACATGGAGAGATATCGATAGATATGGACCGGTGCTGCTCACTGATGCTGAATAGATATGGATAGACATGGAGATACATCGATAGATATGAACCACTGCTGCTCACTGATGGTGAATAAATATAGATGGGTGGATGGGTAGACTCTAGAGCGCATGATACCGTAAGTGATTGTTAGCCAACAAGGTCTGTTACCGTGTGGTGTTGCTCACCGATGTTCATTGATGTGGCATGTTAAATGTCTGCATTCACATTTTGCTCTTGTAAAGAGTTGACTGCTGCATTATAGAATTAACCCCACGCTGTCAAATGTTGTAGCCTGTAGTGAGGCATGTCACGTGGGTTACAGTTGTTAGGGTTGTACCCCAACTCACAGTAATACACACATCATTCCGTTTCAGACATGGTATCACTTAGGTTAGGATCCTGTTGGATCCCGTTCCTCCCTCTTGAGCCTCTCGCGCCCGTTGTGCCGAGCCTACCGTACCACGCCCGTAGCGCCCTACCGTCGTGCTCATCCCATCCCCTAGCGCCCGTTGCGCCCGTCCTGTCCCGTCCCCTCGCGCCCGTCGCGCCTCCCTGCACGTCGCGTCGCGCCCTACCCGTCCCGTCGTGTCGCGCCCTGCCCGTCCACATCAGCTAGGGTTTCCTCCGCCAAACTAAGACATGGCAGCAGTAGCTCCCTCCCCTCTGCATCAGCTATGGCGACGCCTAGGGTCCTGCGCTTTGATGCGAGGGTAGGCCGTTGGAGTTCTCTGTATGGCTCCTCCATGCGTAGCGCCTGCTAGAGAGTCAGTATTAGGCTAACGAGCCCCTCTGGGCGCACGCCTCCGGTGACCTTCTTGCGCCCTCTGCTCCTGAACCCCTAGGCGCTGACCCCACCACTGCAGACAGAGAGCGTTTTGCATGTCAGCGCGCTGCCCTGACAGCCTGGAAGTCGCGCGACGCCGCGACCTGCATCGCCCTCAGCAGCCTCCTCCCTGATTCTGAGGAGACCCACTTCACACCCACTGCAAGCGAGTTCCTGACTACGTTCAAGGCCCGCTACTCCACTCCCACCACTGTCTCTCTCGGTCACCTGTTCCTCCCGTTCCTGTTTCCTGACCTCGCCTCGTTTGAGAGTTCTGCTGACTTGATCGCTCACCTGCATTCGCTGGATTCTAGCTACCGCCCTGCCTGCACTGATGCACAACTTGCACTGCTCCCCCCCCCCCCATGGCGATTAATATTTATTTTATCGTCACTAGCCTCCATGACCGCCTTACCACAGTCCGCGACGCGCTTCTTGTGAAGCACCCTAGCGAGCTCACTATCGAGGTCCTTGGGTCTGCACTCAAGGACGTTGAGAGCAACCTCCGCTCGGTAGCCTCCGCCTCTGGCGCTGTGCCCCCCCCACTGTCTCGCAGGTGAACTGTCCCACAGCTGCCCACCTTTATTGCCTCCCTCGCCGCTACCGCTACTGATGAGACCGCGGCTGCGGTCACGACTTCTGCGTGGTCTAGAGTTAGGAGTGGCAGGAGGAGCGGCCAGGGTGCAGCCAGCAGCGGAGGCGGCGGAGGTGGCGTGGCGAGTGGCGGTGGCGGGAGTGCAGGTGTTGGTGGAGCGCCTCGTGCAGCTTCTGGTGGCTCCCCTGCTGCAGCTGGTGGAGGCGACGCTCGGGTTCGTCGGGCACCTGCGGGGCTGCCAGCTACAGGTGCTGGGATGGTGGCCTGGTACCTGGCTAAGCAGCAGCAGCAACCACTGCTCTCGCAGCAGCCACAACAGCAGCAAGGGCAGTAGCAGCTTCAGAGGCGCGGGTCAGGACCGCGTCAGCTATCGCATGGTGACGCCCACCCACCCTGCCCCTACCTCATCCAGACGTGTACTCGCAGTGGCCTCCGTTGTGACTGCCGTCACCGACCGGGTCAGTGCTTTTCTCAGCTCACTGGCAGGCTTCGCGCGGCCTACGGCGCAGATGGCCCAGCCTCTGATTGGCTTCCCCTTGTTCTCTCGCACGGTCCCGCACTGTGGGACATGTCTGCTTCTCAGTTACTGTAACTCTTAAGAACTGCAAATGCTATGTGTGCTATTGTTGATGTTAGTGCTTCTGACTTCGTTTGCTCGCGTGTCTTTAGCTTAGGTGCTAGTGTTGATCCTGTACCAGTCGCTAGTGTAGGTACTTGCTTAGGTACTCGTCCAAGTGCTACCACGGCGGACGCTTCGCTGTCTTTCACCCTGGACTCCGGAGCTTCGAAGTGTTTCTTCCGCGACCACACAACTCTTACTCCGCTTCCTGCGCCAGTCTCTGTAGCACTGGCTGATCCCACTTCGGGACCAGTCATTGCTCACCACTCTACTACGCTTCTGTCCCCGGCTGTTCCCTCGGGTTCTCTGACGGGCTTCCACGTCCCCTCGTTCTCTAGGAACTTGGTGGGTGTGCGGCCGTTGGTGAGTCAGCACGTTGGTGTTTGGTTCGAGCCTTCTGGGGACTCTGCGACCTGTGTGGACGGTGACACGTACGCCCCTCTGGCCACCTTTCGCCAGGAGCTGGGTTCTGGTCTCTACACGCTTCACACTGGGCCCCAAGAGAGGCAGCAGTAGCAGTAGCAGCAGCAGCAGCAGCAGGTGCTGCCTCCGACCCCTGTCACTGCCCCCCGTCAGGTCCCAGCATCCCACCAGGTAGCTGTGTCTGGTCAGGTTGCTGCTTCATGCTCGTGTCGGTCGCTTGCCCACCCCATTGTTCTGAGGCACCACCGTCTTGGTCACCCGTCCCTTCCTCGCCTTCACACTATGTCTTGCCTTAGGCCTCCCGCGAGTCTTGCCGACGCTGCCGCCTTCGCCTGCACCACCTTTCGGCCCTTGTGTCGAGGGTCGGCTGCATGCCACCCCTCACTCCTCCTCCCTTCGTCCGGCCACCGAGCCCTTCGAGACTCTCCACTTGGACGTCTGGGGCCCCACCTCTCGCCCTGGTCCTGAGCAAGAGAGTTTTTTTCTCGTGGTCGTCGACGACTACTCTCGCTACGCCACCGTTTTCCCTTTGGCGAAGAAGTCCGACGTGCATTCTACGCTGATCCGGTGGTTGCTCACCACTGAGGGTACTCGTCACCGTTGTGTCAGTTGCGTTCACTCTGACCGTGGGGGTGAGTTTTGCTCCGGCGTTCTCGCCGGATTCTGTCGCGAGCAGGGCATCCTTCAGTCCTGGACGCTTCCAGAGTCCCCACAGCATAATGGGGTTGCTGAGCGCCACATAGGCTTGGTCATGGAGATTGCACGCACCTCCATGATCCATGCCTGTGCGCCCCATTTTCTGTGGCCCTACGCGGTTCGGTACGCCGCTCACCAGTTGAACCTCTGGCCACGTGTCTCCCGGCCAGGGGTTTCACCGACCAGTCTTTGGACAGGGTCCCAAGGTGTTGCAACGTGTTTTCGTGTCTGGGGCTGCTTGGCGCTTGTTCGCGACACCTCCGCGAACAAGCTCTCCCCTCGTGCCCTTCTCTGTGTCCTCCTTGGTTTTCCAGAGGACTCCTCTGACTTCACCTTCTACCACCCTCCCCTTCACCGGTTCCTTGACTCCCGTGACGTCCGTTTTGACAAGTCAGACCCCTACTACACCCAGTACCCCTGTCGAGGTCTCCCGGTTCCTCCCCTCCTCTCTTCCTGACTCCCACTCCCCCTCCTGCTCCTCCGGTACAGCCTCCCCCCCTTGGTCCAGCCCCGTCAAGTGTGTCACACGCTACCCCCCCCCCCCCCCCCCCCCCCCTTGGTAGCCCCTCAGGTCCCGTCCCCTTCTCCGCACTCCTCCTCACAGTCACCGCAGCAGAGGTCAGCACTTCCTCCACAGGCTGCTGCTGACCCTGAGGGTGCTGGTGTCCGTAGTGTGGACCCTGGAGGTGCTACCTCTGGAGGTGTTGGAGTTGGAGCTGAGAGTGTGCCTGCACGAGGTCCTGGTGCTGGGGGTGCTGGAGTTGGAGCTGAGCCCGTGTCTGCACGAGGTTCTAGTCTTCGGGGAGCTGATGTTCGTCGAGCTGTCCCTGGGGGTGCGGGTGCGCCCTCTGCTGGACCTGGAGAGCCTCGGACTGGCCGCGTTGCTGTTGGTGGTGCTGGCTCTGGGGGTGGTGCGACTAGTGCTTTGGAGAGCGGTCCTGGGGCTACCACCGCCCCGGACACTACTCCTCCCCTCCACCCCTACCCGACCCGGCACCAGGCCCTTCTTCATCGTGCACGTGAGGAGCAGCTGGAGTTGGAACGAGAGAGGCTAGCGTTGGAGCGGCAGCAGCTGGAGCTACAGCAGCTGGAGGAGCAGCAGCAGCAGAAGTAGCAGGAGCAGCAGCCGCCGCAGCAGGAGCAGCAGCAGCCGCCACCGGAGCAGCAGCAGCAGCCGCGGCAGCAGGAGCAGCAGCAGCAGCGGCCACCTACACCTCCTGTCTCTGGCCTTCGGGCCCTTGGTCTCCCCTCCCCTTCTCCTCCCTCCTCTCCCTCTCCTCCTATCTACGGTCCCACGTTTCCTCCTCTTGACTCCACCCCGGCTGTTTTCCCCCGTTCCCAGCCTTTGTTGTCCCCTCCTCTTTCTCACACTTGGGCTTCTCGCTCTCCTCATGCTCGTCCCTCATCCCCTGTTCCCGCCACTGACCTTCGTACGGTCCTGTTTCGTTCTAGCTCCCCTCGTCCGTCTCCGTCTTTGCTTCCTTCTCCCCCTGAGTCAGCCCTTACTGCTTCCCTCTCTACTCCTGTCACTGACTACTACCGCACGTACCGTCCTGTTCTCTCTCGTGTTCTTGCCTCTCTTGTTACGGACCCTCGTGCCTCTCTGTCCTCTGTCTCCGCCCTTACTGCCACTGTCACTGGGTTCGTCGCTACTCGCAGCCTTGACTACGCCACTCGTGTTGTGGCTGCTCCTCCTACCAGTCCTCTGGCCGTCGGGGGTGAGTCTGCCCTTGGTTGTGACGCCCTAGAGGACAGGCAATTCGAGCTAGAGTTCCTGGCAG